CTGTCAGCAAGAATGATTAGTTAAAAGGGAAAACCATCAGATAGCCACTAGCCATAGTCCACAGCCATCCCCTCTTCTCTGGGGTCCATCATGGCAACCATCCCAATTGCTTTCCCACAATGTCCCAAACTCTTTCCTTCCTGGGCTTCAACTGAGCATGTGCTTCTTGTGTGGGTTAGTGCTCTGACCTAGGAAAACCCTTCTGAAGTGGGAAAGGCAGGTAGGAGCCAGGCCATGAGTGCATCTGCTCTTAGACATATCCAGGGTCAATGAGGAGGAGGGCAGATGAGTTGCTGCAATCACAGAATACCATAAGGTGGAATTAGGGGCTTCTCTAGCTCAGGCCACTGATTGGTCTTTCTAAATAGCTCAGGACTAAGAGTGGAGTAGTGCAATGCAGTGTTCCCCAGAGCTGGATTCTGGGTTCGAACCTGACTGATTTGTCCCAACACTTAGCACAGAAAGGTTCAGTGAGTTTTTCAAGGTTACACTGCTAAGCAGCAGAAGCAGAATTCAAACCCAGGTCTTCTGTCCATCAGTCCAGCGGAGGCATGAGAAATCTCTGTTGATAGTGATAATGGTGGGGCAAAGGGTAATTGCTACCTCATGGGTGAATAAAATCTCTGCTTTCCTCTGGTGCCAAGAACTCTCTGACAGCTCCTTTCATTGTATGGTCATGGAAAGAAACTGGAGGTTGTTTATTTTGCCCCCTTTAATGTTCTGAGATAGGTTTGTTGGCTTGAAAGAGGATGAATTTTTACATCTCCATAATGAACAGTCCTAAGGGTCACAGCCCTTCTTCTCCTTGCAAGGAAACCACACATCTGAGGCCTCAGGTTACTTAGGGGAGTTTAGGCAGAATTGTGCCTCCATCAAAATTCCAAGCATAGTCTCTGTCTGTCTGAACATATGTGTGTGTGTGTGTGTGTGTGTGTGTGTTTGTGTGTGTATGTGAGCGCGTATGAAAATCCTTTCTTCCCTTATCATGAATGGAGCTTAAGAAAACAAGGCATTTGGATCTTCTCCATCTCCCTCCCCAGGCAAAGGTACCTTTCTAGTTCAAGGTCCCATGAATGTGTCTGGCCTTGGGTGTGATGGACCTCTTCCCATCTTTATCTACTTACTGGTTCCCCAGAAGTATCAGGCAATCACTAACTTAGAGCTAGTATGGGTCTTAGAACTCACCTGTGTGGCTCTGGGAAAATCACTTAACCTCTCTGTGCCTGTTTCCCCATCTATAAAAGCAGATTTGCACCATATGGCCTTTCATGTCCCACACAGTTCATAATCTATGATTTTATGATCTAGTCTAAATTTTTTATTGTACAGATAGGGAAACTGAGGACTGGAGAAGATAGATGATTTTCTGAAGAATCTATAGGTAGTAAGTGACACAGCTGGGATATAAGCCTAGGTTCTTAGCTCCAAATACAACACTTTCTAGTCTGCTCTAATGGAAGCTCTATCTCTGACTATTCCTAACACATATTTGAAGCTTAATAATTATTAGTTGGAAGAATGAATAATTAGAGCAACTTAATGAGTGACTGAATGATTTTGGGGCACCTAGGTGGCCCAGTGGATACAGCACTGGGCTGGGAATCAGGAAGATTCATCTTCCTGAGTTCAAATGCAGCTTTAGACACTTATTAGCTGTGTGACCCCAGGCAAGTCAATTAACCCTGTTTCCCTCAGTTTCCTCATCTGCCCAATAAGCTGAAGAAGGGAATGAAAACCATTATAGTATCTTTCCCAAGAAAACTCCAAATGGAGTCATGAAGAGTTGGACATGATTGCCAAAAGAACTGCTAAAAGAACAACAAAACAAAGTTAACAATAACTAGTGCTGACCTCCCAAAGTGACTGAAAAATAACTGAACAAGGACTGCAAATGTTTTTTAAATTAAATATATTTTTTAATTAATGAGCATTAATTTTTCTCTCTCCAACCTCCTCTCCTCTACAACTGAAGAGAAAAATAAATCCTCATAACAAATGTGCGTTGTCAAGTAAAGGAAATCCCCACATTGGCCATATCTCAAAATGTATTTCTGATTCTGTATCTTGAATTCATCACCTCTGTGGAAGGAGGGAGGCAGCAAGCTTCATCTCATTGCCTGGATCAGAGTAAGAGGGAATACATGAATGAAAAACATAAGTGAGCAAGTTAACACATACTAGAATAAATGAATGTAGTGAATGAATGAATGAGTGAATGAGTGAGTGAAAGGGAGAATGAAGGAATGTAAGCCCTGGAAGCTGCTTCCACCCCTCCAGGGCCCATTCTTTAATGAGCCTGAATGATAAATTTTATCTACTGGAGACATGTGGTAGGTTTGTAGTCTCATGATTCTTAACCCCCACACAGCAATTTTCTTAATACTGGCCTGTCAAATTCAGCTTTGTTTTATGGTATGGAAGTAAAGTTAAGGATTGCCAAACCTACAAGAGTAAATATGTGAAAAACAGAATGATTTCCCTTGGCCTGAGAGCTATAGGAGAACCAAGGATTCCCAAAAGGGGGCACTTTCCTGAGTCATTGGAATTTCAAGTAAATCTCATTTGGTCCAGAAAGGACAATTCTGCAGTAATTCCAGAGTACATCTCTTCGCGGGAAGAGCTTTTTTAATAAAGGTGATTTTGGAGCAGTAGCAGTAGCATGAATGTATTAATCATTCAAGCGGCTACCTTTGGTTCCCTGCCATGTTCTCTGAGGTTGTTTTACTCCAGAGGATTCTCAAAGAATGATGGGATTTAAGGCTGAAATGGTCTTTAAAGATTATCTAGTACAATTGAAATTGCTGAATTATTCAGATAAGAAAATGGAGGCCTGAGGAGGTCCAGGGGCCTTTCCAAGCTAAGTAGTAGGAGAGCTTGGATTTCAAACCCAAGCCCTTTGACTCCAAATAATAGTTGTTACAACTAAATAAAGAATAACAATAACAACAACAATAATAATTTAAATTCATATAGCTCTTTGAGGTTGGCAAGAAGTTTACGTTCGGGATCTCACTGAGGCCTTGAAATCATTCTGGGAGGTCAATACTGTAGTGGTTTTTTTCAAATTTTCATTTTGTTACTGTTGTTTTCAATTAATCACGTCAGGTGCTTCATGACCCCAGTAAAGGTTTTTTTGACAAAGACAGTGAGATGGTTTGCCATTTTCTTCTGCAACTCATTTTGCAGATGAGGAAATTGAGGCAGACAGGGTTAAGTGATTTGCCCAGAGTCACATGGCTAGTAAGTATCAGAAGCAGGATTTGAACTCAGGTTCTCCTGACTCCAGGGCCAGCACTCTATCCATTGCACCACCTTAGTACCCCATCCCTGTTTTACAACTGAGAAAACTGAGGCTTAGAGGCTTACAAAGGTGACAACAAGTATTTATTAAATAGTTCCTGACCTCCAAGAACTCACAGTCTTATGGCACAGGCAACATGCAAGCAACTGCATATAAACAAAATACAGCCCAGATAAACTGGAGGAATTCCCCAGAGGGAAGGCACCAGCATTGAGGGGCCAAGGACAGGCTTCTAGAGAAGGTGGGATTTGAGCTGGAACTTGAAGGAAGTCTGGGAAGCCAAGGAGGCAGAGAGAGGAAGGAGAGTGTGCCAGGCAGGAGGCACAGCCAGTGTAAATGACTGGAGTCTGGAGACAGTGTATTGTAAGTAAAGAATAACAAGGAGGTCAGTGACAGTGGAGAATCCTATTCCAGTAGAATGTAAGCTCCTCGAGGGCAGATACTGTTTCCTTTTTGCCTATATCCGGCACAGTGCTCAGTGTAGTATCCTCACATAAGAAGCAGTGAACATATTAGATGGCAGTTTCTGAGGCAGAATGCAAACTCAGGGCTTCCCAACCAGAGGTCAGGGCTCTATCCCCTCTGTCTAGCTCTGAAGCTTCCAGGCACCTTGAAGATGATTAGCATAGAAATAGAAGGGGGTATCATTTTATTTTTATCATAAAGATTTTCTTTATGAGAGAAGGAGGGAGAGACAGACAGACAGACACAGACACTGGAAGAGACAGAGAGAGCCAGAGGCAGAGAGAGAGAGAGAGAAAGAGAGAGAGAGAGAGAGAGAGAGAGAGAGAGAGAGAGAGAGAGAGAGAGAGAGAGTGAGAGAGAGAGTGAGAGAGAGAGAGAGAGAACTGATCTTAAATGATTATCTTAGTCCCTGAAAGGCAATATGGTATAGCACATAGAATTCTGGACATGGAGTAAGGGAGATCTAGGCTCAGATATCAGTTACTCATCTATAAAGTGATAGGTTGGACCCACTGATCCCTAAGGTGCCTCCCTTCTCTCCATCTCTGGTCCTATGTAACTTTATCTATCTGTGCATGATTTCTTCCCCTGTAAGTTGAGGGGGATGGAGAAGATGGCTTCTTCTCCTACATCTAGGAACCTGCAATCCCAAGGAATGAAATTTAAACAAAAACAAACAATATGATCTCCTACCCCTGGCTCAGCAGGAAGTTGCTCTGACTTGTTTTATAATCTGTTTCAAACTAAAACTGAATGGATTCTCTAGTGGACTGTAAAAGCCTTTGGGCAATATGGATTTTTGAAGATTTCATCAAATCCCACTAAAAAAAATCCTGGGAATTTTTTTCTGACCATTTTCTTTTTTAATCCAAGGGTCATAATAATTTTAAATAGTAGTCACCCCTTTCAGAGTTAGTTTAAGATTGTGAAGGGCCAAATGTGCAGTAAGGTTATTTGATCATCCAAGGTGACCAGGCACTTCATGGTAGTGACAGAATTCAAACCCAGGTCTCCTGGCACTACATTTTCACACCATGCTATGATAATTGTTAAGGCAAACCAAAGACAAGGTAGTTTTTCCACTACAGCAGATGAAACACACATAGTCACGTAGCCTGAGACGAGGGCTCTGTCATATTACTTTTCAGAGACTCACGTTGGTGCCAGATTTTCAGACAAGCAAAGTATTCACCATGCCATGCTTCTGACTCTGTGTTAATTTTTGTTGTTCTAGCGTCTTGTGGAAGCTGCAGAGGAGGCTCACCTGAAACATGAATTTGATGCTGACTTACAGGTAATGCACAACATTTTGAGTTGTTCTTTTTCTTTTTTTACCGGTCCTTTGTTATCAGAAGTGGAATTCCACGCAGCTATTATGAACATGATAGGCATGAGAGGTTGTAATAAATGCTGCCAGAAATGAAATGAATGGTTCTTATCTCTATCCCTGACATATGACAGAATCAATGAGCCGGATTCAGACAATTCCCATGGTACTGCTTGGCAGTAAATTAAGCCCTTTGAACAGTGCATTCATTCTTTCACAAGTCCATACTCAATAACTATTTATTAAGCACCTACTATGTGTCAGACACTGTGCTGAGGGCTGGGGATACAAATATGAAAAAAGACAGTCCCTGCCTTCAAGGAGCTTACAGTGTAAGGGGGAAGACAATGTACAAAAGAAAGCTGAAGTGTGTGTATCTCTGTGTGTGTGGGATTAGGAAAGATTCCCAACATGGAGGCCTGTTGCCAAAGTTAGAGATGTCACTCTGTAGTGCATCTGTTGCTAAGCTCCCTCCTTTAGTGGAGGTTTAACTTTCATTTGCCTGTGGTACCATTCAGGCCCTTGCTGCTGACAGCTTCCCCAGCAGAGTGGAAGGGTTAATAAATTGGAAGCAGTGGCCTTGGATTCTCACAAGATCAGGCTCAATTTCTGGGCATTTAGAGATCTCCTGTATAAATCTAGGGCTATCTAGATATGGCGAATGAAACGCTATCAGTTGTACTCGTGCATTCATCCATCAAGGCTGGGCCTTGGGAACCGGCAAGAGGGTAAGGAGACATGCTTCTAGAACTAACGTGAACAGGCCTGGTCCAGGTATGGAGAAGACATGTATCGGAGTGGGGCAGACAGTGACATAGTTTGATGGCCATCTAGATGAACACATCTAGAAAAGTGGTGGCCCGGGAAGAGTGTTTCGGTTTGGGAAATCAACAAGCACAGTGAGTAGAGCCATAGAAGAGCTGATTGGCATACATTTCGAGTAGCAATCACAGGACTGTTTGATGCATTCAATTCATTCGATTATAGCTCCAGAGAGAAAAAGGATGACTAAGGTGGAATGTGAAGCATGATTGGGGCTCCCTGGATCATAGTGGGTCATAAGAAAAGCTCCCCAGGATGGTGCCATTGGATAGAGTAACATCATCATAAGCCCAGCTGATAGTAGAAGGGTCTTCACTCATCAAGTGAGCCATCAACAAGTACTGAGGAGATGCCTACTGTATGCTAGACTGCTAAAGGTGATGGCAGAAGAGTTTGCATCTGACCCGGCTGAACTTTGGAAAGCACTGCCTGGTGTGCCATCTGGAGCGGTGAGACTGCTGAATGAGCTGCTTTTGGAGGCTCTGCTTTCATGGCCCAGGAAAGACTGACAAGTATTAAGATGATCGTCCGTCTGGGCTCCTCTTGCTCCATTCCTGGGCAGAAAGTGGTGGAGCTAGGAAGAAAAAAGAAATTGTCTCCTTCAGTTCTTCTGTTCTTTAAGAGAAGAAAAATGTGTTCTGGAGAGTGCAGAAAATGAGAGATGGTGTGCCCATTTTTCTTGGCAAGCTATTTTGGTTTCCTTGAGAATTTGCTTTGTTTCTGCCTCTCATTATTGAAGCTTTAAAATAAAAATTAGATGTGACTACAAAGAAACCTCGATGGTGGGAAAGGGGCAGCATGCACCCAGTTGAATCCTATGCCACTTCCCAGCTCTCCAACAAGCCTGACCCACACAACCATTAGAAGGTTGGCCCCTGGAGGCTTAACCCGAATTCCAGGACTGAAGATCACATGTTATCTCTGGCCTGGTGGGTCTTGGCCTGATGGGCTACCCAAAGTCCCTCTTCTGTTCCCTCACCTTGACCCAACCTCTCTAGTCTCCCAATTTAGGTGAAGACTCAAACTTATTTTTTCCTTAAAGTGACACCTGACATTTCCAAATTCACCCAGTCATAATCTTGGTGTCATAGGTCTAGTGCTGCAAAGGATGCCAGAAGCCACTAAGTCAAATACTCTCATTTTTAAGTTGATGAAACTAAGGTCTGAGGTATTGGAGTGACTTTTTAAAGGTCAAATGGGTACCAAGTGGTGGAGCTGGAACTTGAACCCAATGACTTTGAGTTTAGAGCTAATGTTCTTTCCAGTGTGTTGCACTGACTTCCCTGAGTCCTTGGTCTCCCAAAGCATCCTGTTATACCCTGGGGTTAGAATTATAGCTTCACGGTAATTTGTACACATTCTATTCTCATTCATATTGAAGTAGATCAAGGGCCTATAGAGTTGGCTTCTTCTTTACAGTTTCTCTCAACAAAGGATGGGCTAAGAGCCCCTAACTAATATCCAGTGCGGAGCCTCATAGGCTTCCCCAAGCCTGTCCACATTACCAAAGAAGCCTGCTCCTTCAGCATAATCTCAATAACCCTGAGGTCCTAGAATGAGATTGTCTTGCAGTGGTTGGATGCACATGGCATGGGTCAACCCAGAACGAGTGGAATGGCTTTGGGCCCATGGTTGGACCCAACTCCCAGCAGCTCTTCATCAGTTACCACCTGGCCAATGACTTACTTAACATGCTGGACATAAGCATAGTCCTTAGAGGCACTGAACTTTGGTTATTTGAAGGAGACTTTGGAATTGAACCAAGGGGCTGGAAGAACCCAGCATATCTACTACAATCACCACACTCTCCTCAAACTTCACATCTGAAATAGAGGTCCCTGTCACCATTGGGTTCTGGGTCTGAGTGATCAGTCCTGTGTGGCCAGTGTCTGGACAGTGCTGCCTGGCTCTGAGAGGGCTTCTGGGAAGGGAGAATGTACTAGAACTGCCCCACAAAGGAGCCCGTGGCCCAGAGCCCCAATCAGAACTGCAACAATTACTCATCTTAGTCACCCTGGCAAGTCTGAAATTCAGCATAGATGACTTACTTGTTCAAAGTCACACCACTGAGAAGTGTCAGAAGTAGAATTAGAATTCAGCTTTTCCTAATCTCCTGCCCTAACACTCTCACCATTATACTCCCCATACTTACACACTGTTCTTGCAAACTTTGCACCATAGCAAAGTAGGTTTCCATCAGTCAGTCAACAAACATCCATTAAGGGACTGCCATGGGTAAAGTACTAGGCATAAAAAAGGAAACAGTTGCTGCCCTCAAGGTGCTTACCTTCTGCTGGAGGAGACAGCATGGATGACATATGTAGGTATGCATAGAATAATCACAAGGTGCCATTTTGGGGGAAGGCATCAGCAGCTGGATTTGCCATAGTAATGATAACCCCATTCCCCCCACCTGCCCAGTGAATCTTTCTTTCACCTTAAAACGGTCTTTAAAAGGGGGATCTCTGTGTTTAGGAACATTTTCCAGTTCTGGGGAATAAAGCCCTTTGAGCTGTCATTTCTTCTTCCTTCCCATCACTAGCTGTGTTTAGTCAAGAGAGAAAGAAGAAGGGAAGGGAGCTCTGAGTACAGGTGTGACCTAAAAAAGGAGAACATGAATCTATTTCCATGAAAATCATGGATGTGCAGTTCATTTTCTAGGCCTCAAAGAGGAGGAGAAGTGGGGAGTGGTTTTTAGCCAGATTCAGTGAAATGCTGGAGTCACTGGGAATAGCAGCTCTGCTGTTTTGGAAGAAAATCCTGAGACCCCGGAGCCTGGATGGAAAGGATGGGTGCTTTGAGTGGTCAGCTCAAAGCCATGGGGTGTCGGCAGCATGATCGGGCCCAGCCAGGCTTGGGTGTTTATTAGTGACATGGTCCATTAGAGCTAATCAATTGCTCATCTTGGTTCCAATGACCCCTTGGCTGAGCATTGTTCTTTATCAAAAATCTCATCTCCTCTGCTCGATATGAAGTAATGGCCAGGATCATTTGGTGGCAACATTCAAGTGGAAGGCGGGGATGGGGGGAGTGTGGAGGGGGAAGGAATGAAGCTGAGAGCAGGTTTTCTAAAGGTAAAGAAAACACACACACACTCACATTGTTGAGATCTCGGTTTCTCTAAAACTATGAGTGCCTTTTGAGTAGTGGATAGCCTCCCCTGCTTAAAGAAAAGTCAGAAAAAGCAGAGTTGTGGCTAACAATGATTGATTTTTGTTCTTGAGGCAGCACACACTGAAAGGAGGTGGTTTACACAATGCATCTGTAAATCAGCTGGGAGAATGTGACCCCCATGGTTCCTAGGAGCCCTACAGAGACCCCTCCTCCCGGCTGCTCTTAGAAAGGCTACTGAAGAAGGAGGAGACGTGATCAGGGCAGTTCTGGGCAGAAGTGCTCACTGGTGATGCAACCATGGTGGTGGTGGAGCACTTCTCATAGATTTCTTTTTTTAACCCATCTTGCTAAGGACGTGGTAGACTCCATTTGTTTTCTAGCCATCAAAGTGCTGGTGCTTTTAGCACCCTCTAAAATTCATGTTTTTGTAGAAAGGCCTGGTTGCCCTTCCCTGGTTCCAGAGAGCTTTATATAGGGATGGGAACTGGATTGGGGATTTCAATGCTATGGGGAATTCTTAGATGAAGGAACTCCACCTACTGATGCAGGCTGGAGCTTTCTCTGCAACTTACTGTCTTAGAGGATGTTTTATAATGAACTGAAATTCTTGTGCATTTAGTATACTTCATATTGCAAGGCAGCTGTGGGCTGTGGCATAGAGAGGGGACCTCAGGACAGGAAGTCCTGGATGCAAGTTCTGCATCAGGAACATTCTGGCTCTGTGACCCTGGGCTAGTCATCTTATGCTGCCTGGCTATACTCATCCTCTTCCTCCTTATCCTAACATGGAAATTACATCCAAGAAGAAATGAACAGGGTTGGAGTGTCCCCAGATTCTGAAGGGAACTGAAGGTTCTGGAACCTTAAATGTCTGGTTTTCTTTTTAAAAATGTAGGTAATGTTTTTTAAACTTCTCATTTTTTTTCACTTTAGGTTATGGTGGAGAATCAGTAACTGAGGCATTGGGATTTTAAGTGGCTGGCCCAGGGTCACACAGCTACTAAGTGTCAAAAGAAGGACTTGGATTCAGT